TAATTTAATCTGTTTCATATCAAAAAAAAAAAAAAAAATGTTCAGTTTTCTTGCCTGTTTTAAAAAATGATAAAAAAATATCAGTATTTTTTTTTCTTTTTAACAGATTATCAACTGAATGCATTTAGTACCCTTTGACCATAATTTTATTTGATTATTTTATTTTTATCTTGACAAAGATTGGTATCTTTTTAATCAGTCGGGAAGCATGCTGCTATTTTGATAAACAGTTAAGATAATAGAGATAGGCTTTATAGTTTGATTCACCTATTCTGTAATAAGGGTTTGTAAGCAAATTATACTGGCATCTTGCAAATGATTCGGTTTTAAAAAGTTTGATTATCTGGGCCTGGAGAGTAGGTCTTGGGTCTTTTCTATCCTTTCCCTCTGGCTTTTCTTCAATTCATCTATCCATCTTCCTTTCTTCCTTTTCCTTCCCCTTTCCCTTCCCTTCCTTCCTTCCCTCCCTCCTTCCCTCCCTCCTTCCTTCCTTCCTTCCTTCCTTCCTTCCTTCCTTCCTTCCTTCCCTTCCTTCCTTTCCTTCCTTCCTTCCTTCCTTCCTTCCTTCCTTCCTTCCTTCCTTTCTTCCTTCCTTCCTTCCTTCCTTCCTTCCTTCCTTCCTTCCTTCCTTCCTTCCTTCCTTCCTTCAAAAACAACAGATCATTTAAGAAACATTTTCTGGCAAAGCATGACTTCATTTTACATCAAAGAATGGCAGATAAATCTTGCAGCATGATATAAGACCAACCTGTTTAAAATCTATACATATATGCCCTCCTGGTGAGATTTTATAACAAGCCCCTGTTGGAACAACAAGATGTTATACACCATGAAGAAACTTTTTGCATCATATTCAATCTGGAGATTAAGAGGGGAAAAAACTGTTAAATTTTGCAGCTGTAAAGTAAATATTGAAAATGAATTTTAACTTTATTGAAAAATATATGCTTGTACATATCGAGGGTTGATCACAAAACTGTTGTAAGTCCTTCTATATTTCATACAACACATGATAATATCATTTATTGTTCAGTTAAATATGTATTAGCCAACAATATTTAATATTCCCATTTAAAGAAGATAAAAAAAACTTGTTTTGAGAGACCACTTGTCAACATAGGCCACTTGTCAATACAGACTGCTTGTCGATATTTTCAAGGCTGCATGATTATAGTCAAATGAATCTGACCTATGTGCAATATTTCGGATTTATTTAATACAGGAATGTAAAAATTAAGGTCTTGGTTGATTTTATGATACTAAATGAATGAAGTCTTTTGTATTTATTAATTTAGTAATTAGATATTATAAAACAAAAAACTTGTGTATACAGTTTAAAAACAGCATTCATTCTGTTTATTTTGTTTCACAGATTCATGTATCTTATAAAAATTTTCAAAGCCACCCTGAATGAAACAAATTGATCACTTTTCCCAGTTTGTTTATTTTCTTTCATAGAGTTATCTCCCTTTCTTTAATTACATACCACCATTATAAGTACTTTCCCCTTTTTATCAGTCATTAATCTTAGTTTGTAGAAAAAAAAAATTTTTCATAGTTATCTCTCTTTCTTTAATTACATGCTACTAAGAGTGATCTCCCCTTTCAACTGTAATTTTGCATGATGGGAATGGCAGAATTTTTTGTTGCTGTTTTGCTCAATAATTTTGATTATTGTGCGTGGGAGGGAACAGGTAATCAACAGAGTGACGTTGTTGCCGTGGGTTTTTTTTCCGCGGAAAATAGTGCGGAAAAGATCATGATATGATTTGCTTGCAATATGCCTAACTATCTTTTCTAATTACAGTGAATCATTCTAGTGGGTTGTTGGAAACACTTCAATTTGATCATAGGAAAATCTTTTATTGTTGTTTAATTCTCATTATTCTATATCTGTTTCACCAGTGCAAAAACTTCTTCATTATAGCTATGAAAAATTTTGTTGTTGAAATTTGTTCTGATTTTATAAAAACAAGGAAACCTGGGCACCAGGAAATAATTTTAGGTTAAATCTGTAGATTAGTTTTGGGAAATAAATACATTTAGCCTCTGTATCACTTGGTCATTATGATTTTTTTCCTTTAAAGGCACATTATGCCACAGAAACAAAATAAACTTTTTCTTCTGAAGAATGGGCAAATATATGTGTGTGTTTTATAATGACTAAATAATAGTTTTAGAGATTGTTGTATACTTATAACATGAAGAAAGTAGCTTAGAATGTAGAAATAATTTGTCACAACAGTATCATAATTTAAACAAAGTGCTAAATTGGAAATATTGAACTATAATTGGGAAAAAGCAAACAGAAGTAAAAGATGGTTAGTAGGTACCTGTCCAGTGAGTAACTTTTTGAAAATAAATCAGGACAACAAATTAATAAATCTTTTTATAAAATAAAAGCATATCTGGGCTTAATGAGCCTTTAAGAAATTTAATGATTATAATGATTATTATATATTGTTATAATTAGCTAAGAGATCAACATCATAGACAAAAAGAGTTCTGCAAGAAAGATTGGTCCATATAAAGGATACCATTGTTGCTTATAAAAGGCACTTTGTTATAAATAATATTTTATTAGAAACATGTATTTACTTTAATTGCCATATTTTTCAAAAACTGAAGTTAATTATTCTTTTTTTTTTTCCCACCCTGGTGCTAAATCATCTGTATAGTTGGTCAGACTTGGAGTTTATATACCGCCAGTATGTTTGAATGCTTTACGATAGGATTCGAAACTATCCACCTAGACTTGTTGTAGGTTGATATGTGTTTATGTTGTAATTATTATGCACAAACATGCATTCTTAGGTCTCTCTCAACGAAACAAAATATCTTTAACAACTAAATTATCTTTATAATAGTGAAGTGTGATTGAAGACAGGGGAGGTAATAAATAAAATTGGTATAGATTATCCCATGAGTAAGCTCCCTTTACAAATATATCTTCTTAAGATGTTTATGAAGTTTTATATAGTCTGTGAGGATGGAAATACTGTGGTTTTTTGGCACATAAGTAAGCAATGAATAGAATATAGGATTGGGTGTAGTAGGTATTATAGAGAAGGTGAATTGAACAATTGCAAAAACTGACGAAAAATATTTCACATTTTGTGAATTCTTTGCATTGTAGAGTTGATAGTCTATAAACAGAAATATTTTACCATTAGAAATAAAATTAATTCTTATTTTGGGGGAAGCAGACTTTTTCCTTGAATTTAAGGCCATCCATTAAAAATTAATTTAATGTTGAAATAACATCACCAATTTTTATAGGGACACTGAGGTTTTTTGACAAGAGCTGGAAATATTTTTTCCAGACTTGCATATCATTTGATGTAGTTCTGGTAGAGCAAAATTTCAGATTATTCCCACACAACGTTTTGCCCAGACACCGTTTTGCCAAATTAGTTAGTATTTTTTATTGTGCTAGAAAAACTGAAGCAATTGGTCTGTATTAGAATATCATAAATTTTGAAAATAAATTGGTCATCAGTACCGGTAGCCATTTGGTTATTTTGACAAACTGCTGAATGTATCCGGAATTTTCTACTGTTATTTGAAGGGTCTTTGATGACCAAAAATACCTATTCATTGTTTTTTTTAGGGTTGTTGATTTTATACCAAAATTACCAAGAATTGAGCAGCCGATATGTCTGTCTGCTCAGATTTGGCAGATGTTTTGGTGTTTAATATAGGCAAGCAACTATGTGGACTTGCATTAAAAAAATTTAAAAACGAAAACTTCCAGCACAAAAATAATTCAATATTTATGGGGACTTTTTTTCAAAGATTTTTTAAAAATCTAAAAATTAAAAAGAATTTTTTTTTTCTGTACAAAAATAATTTATAAAATAAAGTACATGCGTATATCAGTTTCAAAAGAAAAAGGATTTTTTCAAATATTTCTTAAATATCTAAAAAAAAATTTAAAAAAAATTTCTGTACAAACATAATTAATTTATAAAATAAATATAATTTTAAATATAGTTTGAATGTAAATTATATCAGTTTCCAGGTAAAAAAGAGGAAAAGATTTCTTTCGAGGATAATTAAAAATTAAAAGCGAAAATAAAGTGCTCGAAGATATCGAAATACGTTTTGCGTTATATTTTATGCACTTCGCCAGTATAAATACGCTATATGATGCATTATTGTCAGAATGTATACTACAACTTGCCGCTACAACTTGTGTGGAGGAATTTCATTGATATACCTGGAATTTTCTCGTGAAACCAGATCTACATATAAACACACTGTTAACGTCATTGCTTTAATGTTAAGAGTGCTGTTTAGTTTTTATTTGCGGTTTTTATGTTATGATTAATGCTGTGAAAATCAAAAAAGTCATGAAGTTATTTATATATATATCTATGGAGAAAAAAAACTCAATGATGTTCAGACTGATTTTAGTATTTACTTTTTCCACGTTGTTATTTATTTTTTGCCCTATGAAATGATGTAAAAGCAAAAGATTTTATTTTTTGTGTTTACGTAAATATTTACGCAAGTAATGTTACATGTATTTTAAGAAGTGTGTAACTATAAGTTCTTCGATACAGCTGTTAAAATAAGAATGTGTTTATCGCAGTTGTGTTTTCCGTTGTTTTTGTTGTTGTTGTTTTTCTCAAGAGTTGAATATAGAGAAAACACACACTTTAAACCATAACCATCCTTACTGCTCTAAATATCTTGAATTGTCGATGTCTCAATCTGAACAAAACCATTTATCATTTACAGGGTAACTTTCTAGACATATCCAATACTGACTGAACACTAATATGCCGGGCAATCTTGGTCTACACTGATCAAATGCATAGAATGAGTTGCCATTAGTAGGATAAGAGTTGAATTTAATGCTCTAAGACATAAAGGAGCACCTGCATGATACACTGGGTGCAACTGTTTTTACAGGGCTTTATCCGTATCTGTAACTAAAGAAAGCTTGAGTATAAAAACTTTCAGAGGCTAATGGGTCTCCTTATTTTATATTTCAGCTACAGAAAAATGGCCCTGAAATGGCATCCCGACAAAAACATGGAGAAAAAAGACGAGGCCGAGAAAAAATTCAAGGAGATCTCAGAAGCGTACGAAGTTTTGTCCGACAGTAAGTAAAAGCCACACGCTGTTACTGTACTGAAATATTCGCGGGCTGATTGTTTTGAAGGTTTTTTTTATAAATGTATGCAATACAATGCAAATTTTTTTCTTTGAATGATAAGATATGAATCATTATTGCTATGCACTTGTGGAATCTTTCCTGTACTTTGATCTCCTCCCATATCAAATTATCATAATATTAGATTAAATGTATACACAAAATAATGAAATTTTTTTATGAATTTTTTTATGCTATGGAAGTCAATGATTTCTATGAATTTACTGGTTGCTATTGTGGAAAGTCAATGGTTGCTATGGGAAAATCATAATTGTTATGGAATGCAATTGTTTCTATGGAAAGTCAATGGTTGCTATGGGAAAGTCACTGGTTGCTATGAAATACAAATTTTAGATGGAAAGTCAATGGTTGCTATGGGAAAGTCATATTTGCTATGAAATACAATTATTTCTATGGAAAGTCAATGGTTGCAGCAATGCTATGGGAAAGTCATTATTGCTATGAAATACAAATGTTTCTATGGAAAGTCACTGGTTACTATGGGAAAATCATAATTGCTATGAAATGCAGTAACTGTTGTTTCTATGGAAGGTCAATGATTGCTATGGGAAAGTCATAATTGCTATGAAATATAAATGTTTCTTTGGAAAGTCACTGGTTGCTATGAAAAGTCAATGATATCTTTGTTCACTTTGCAATATGTTACTTTTAAATACATTTAAAAAATATTTCATGAAAATTAGCATGAATCTGGAGCCTTTAAAACTTAGTGCTTGTGTCAGGAAAATACATTCCTAAACAAACAACAAATTATTGTTGAGATACACAGCACTGTAAGGCATTATCAATTTTGATTTTTACAAATTTCTAAGAAAACAAAACATTTCACATATATATTGTTTATTTACACGTGTCTCTTTTACTATTCAGAAAAGAAAAGACAAATCTACGACAAATATGGAAAGGCAGGTTTGACTGGTAGTCAAGGCAACGGTTATTCACATTACGACGACGGTTACGGCTTTGACACGGGTTACCATGGTTTCCACTTTAGAGATCCGGAAGAAGTTTTCCGAGAATTTTTCGGTGGCCGGGATCCTTTCGCAGAATTCTTTTCCGGTAAATTAGATTAAAAATGGCCACTCGCCTGGTGCCATGTTTAGTCCTTTTCCTTTAACATCTGGTTTCTGGGGATGTCACAGTCAGCGAATATTTAACTTTATTTTTATCTTTTTAATTTGTTGCCATGGAAATATGGAAGAGCGATAGGAAACCATAGAACTTAGAAATCATGTTAAATTAGTTGAAAATGTTCGTACTCATTTATAATTTTATATGCCCAAGCATTGGTACATCTTATGGCATTTTTATGGTGGCTGGTTTCTGCCATTTCTTTCCACTGACACGAAAATTCTGCAGGGCATCTTCGCCTTCGCCTGCCTTAAATATTATTATTGTGTCTTCATGTTGGCGCCCGCAAAGGCGATAATACAAAATGGCAGCGACCATACATATTTTTTTCATTTTGTTCGTAAGGCTGTCTAACTTAACAATAATATTCTTCAGAAGATTTTGACATCCCTTTGGTTGTTGTTATATAGGTATTTCTAAAAATGTAAATTCTACCTAGTTTCTTATACAATTCTGTTCTTTTTACCTATATTATAATCAACTATATTTATTTTGCAGAAGGAAAAATCCCAGTTTGACTATCTGGTAGATAATTCATTGTTTGCCAAAAAAAAAAAATAAGAATAATTATATTAATATAAAAAAAAAACAACAAAAAAACATCATAGTTATGATTTGTAAAAAAGAAATTTTGATTTTTCTAAATGGTTTAGGTTGGATTGATATGGCTTTCAAATACGCTGTTATGGGGCGTCTGTGGCCAAGTGGTTAAGGTGGCTGACTTCAAACCACTTGCCCCTCATCGCTGTGTGTTCGAATCCAAACGGAGACTGGATTGTTTTATGTGAGGAAGCTATCTAGCTCGTTTACAGAATGCCGGTGCTTCTACTTAAGTGTCTGTTTGTGCCTGAAATAATTCATGGAAAGGCACATGAGGTCTTCCTCCACCAGTAAAGCTTGAAAGTCGCTATATGACCTATCTTGTTTGGTTCTCAATTTTGCTCAAATTCATGATCTCACTAAAGTGGAAGGTTTCAAAATGCAAGGTGGACACAATCATGTGTGTGATTAGTTTTTCCTTCAACATTTTAAATTAATATTTCTTTAATTTTCTTTTCTTTCTGTTTTAATTTTACCCTTTCATGACTTTTTCTTCCAGAATTTTATTTTTCAGCTCTTCAAATTGAAGATTCAGAGATATTTCATGCGTAGCTTGTATCTTGTACAGTCAAACCTGTGCTATACAGACCACTTCCAATTTAAAATAATGTATAGAAAACCTGTTGATGCTAAAACCAAAACTGCCTTTACCACCAAAAATAAAGATCACTTAGATAAAGATTTAAGAAAGAAATTAGGAACTGTCTATTATTTTCAACATTTCAACTTTTCCCTCGTGTGGCCTGATAGACTGGTTTGACAATGTATGTCATGGTGGTGAGGTTCCAGTCTTAAATATATTTGGCAGCTTGCATCATCTTTTGTATTATATTCAAGACTTAAAATTTTATTTAGAAATATTTGAAAGTATATATATATACTGGTATTATTTAATATAAATTTAAGGACCTTCATTTATGATTAAATAATTCACTTTTAGTATTTAATCTAATAAACAAGAAAGATTAATCAAATCAGATGATGAAAATTTTAGCCTTTTATTTTTAATTTTCTATATTATATAATATGACATGTTGATCTATTTTTCCCCAAAAAGATATTGAGATTACAAATTTTTAGATATACATATGAATATTATCTTTGTGGTTATTCCTACATTAAGGTATTTACAGTAGTAATTACATTTTCAACATTTATGTCAGGGAAATGTAAATAATAAAACATTTATTTCAGGAAAATATATATACATGTATTACGCATAGTGATTACTATATACAGGGTATTACAAAATTTCCACATCTGTTTTAGGCGGTCCAAGAATGGGTGGATTTTCAAATGGATTGTTTGCGGATTCTTTTCCAGGATTTCCCGGTCCAAGCCCCTTCTTCTCTTCATCATCATCGTTCGGTGGGGACCCCTTTGCGGGCGGTTCAGGGTATGTTATTTTAATGATTTATGATAGTGAAAATATTTGAGCCGCGTCACAACAAAACCAACACAATGGGTTTGCGACCAGCATGGATCCAGACCAGCCTGCGCATCCGCGCAGTCTGATCAGGATCCATGCTGTTCGCTTATCATCTCTATTACAAGTGGAGAAATTGACAGCAAACAGCATGGATCCTGATCAGACTCGTGGATGCGCAGGCTGGTCTGGATCCATGCTGGTCGCAAACCCATAATGTTGGTTTTGTCATGACGCGGCTCATTTCACATTTTTTTTAATTTTTCCCCCCACTTTTTATGGTGTTGAATTACCTGAATTCACTCAGATTTTGGTTGAAGTGGTGTATTTTCCAGTTTGTGAGTGTTTTCCCGTAGATTTACAAACTCCGCCTTTTAATGTGTACGCTGAACCCGAGTGATTTCTGCTTCACTTCTTATACCCCCGCACAACAAAGTTGTAAGGGGGGTATACTGGAATCAGCTTGTCCGTCCGGCCGTCCGTCGGTTTTTTCTTGTCCGCCCAATAACTTAAGATTCCTTTGACCCTTAGTCTTCGTATTTGTCATGGAGGTTAGTCATGATTAGTAGATGACCCCTATTGATTTTGAGGTCACTAGGTCAAAGGTCAAGGTCACAGGGGCCTTGACTTCAAAAAGCTTGTCCGCCCAATAACTTAAGATTCCTTTGACCCACAGTCTTCATATTTGGCATGGAGGTTAGTCATGATTAGTAGATGACCCCTATTGATTTTGAGGTCACCAGGTTAAAGGTCAAGGTCACAGGGGCCTTGACTTCAAAAAGCTTGTCCGCCCAATAACTTAAGATTCCTTTGACCTACAGTCTTCATATTTGGCATGGAGGTTAGTCATGATTAGTAGATGACCCCTATTGATTTTGAGGTCACCAGGTTAAAGGTCAAGGTCACAGGGGCCTTGACTTCAAAAAGCTTGTCCGCCCAATAACTTAAGATTCCTTTGACCCATAGTCTTCATATTTGGCATGGAGGTTAGTCATGATTAGTAGATGACCCCTATTGATTTTGAGTTCATCAGGTCAAAGGTCAAGGTCACAGGGGCCTTGACTTCAAAAAGCTTGTCCTCCCAATTACTTAAGATTCCTTTGACCGACAGTCGTCATATTTGGCAGTGAGGTTAGTCATGATTAGTAGATGACCCCTATTGACTTTGAGGTCACCAGGTTAAAGGTCAAGGTCACAGGGGCCTTGACTTCAAAAAGCTTGTCCGCCCAATAACTTAAGATTCCTTTGACCCACAGTCTTTCATATTTGGCATGGATGTTGATCATGACTATAAGGTGACCCCTATTGATTTTAAGGTCACTGGGTCAGAGGTCAAGGTTACAGGGACTTCAAAAAGTTTGTCTGCCCAATAACTTAAGATTCCTTTGACCCACAGTCTTCATATTTGGCATGGAGGTTAGTCATGATTAGTAGATGACCCCTATTGACTTTGAGGTCACCAGGTCAAAGGTCAAGGTCACAGGGGCCTTGACTTCAAAAAGCTTGTCCGCCCAATAACTTAAGATTCCTTTGACCCACTGTCTTCATATTTGGCATGGAGGTTAGTCATGATTAGTAGATGACCCCTATTGACTTTGAGGTCACCAGGTCAAAGGTCAAGGTCACAGGGACCTTGACTTCAAAAAGTTTGTCTGCCCAATAACTTTAGATTCCTTTGACCCACAGTCTTCATATTTGGCATGGATGTTGATCATGATTAGTAGATGAACCCTTTTGATTTTGAGGTCACTGGATCAAAGGTCAAGGTCATAGGGACTTTGACTTCAAACAGTTTGTCCACCCATTAACTTAAGATTCCCTTGACCCACAGTCTTCATATTTGGCATGGATGTTGATCATGACTATAAGGTGACCCCTATTGATTTTTAGGTCACTGGGTCAAAGGTCAAGGTCACAGGGACCTTGAAAAAAAAAAGCTTTTCTTCTCAATTGCTAAAGAATGTCCTGTCCGCAATGTATTGATTTTGACATTTTCACATTTGAAGCATGTTGAATACATAACTTAGCAATGCACTGGCTTAGTAACCTCAGATTTGGCAGGGAGGTTGTCCTTGAGCTCTAAATGGCCACTGTTGATTCTGACAAAGTGGTATGCGGGGGTATTCACGCCATGATAGTGGCAGTTCTAGTTATATTTTGATAAATTAAAGATGTACCTATTGGTTATACATAATGGCTATGGTATTTCATTGAATGGGACTTATGGTATTACACATCATATGCCAAGGACTAATTCATTCCCATTCAGGTTACATACATGTACACAGTTGTCGGGAATTGCGCTCATAATCATGTGCTGTTAAATGACTCCAGCGTATGCGTGACGTTAGAGTATGTCACTCTCTATGTTTTGTAGTAAAACGTTATAGTAGTTTGAATAGACATATAAACCAGACACAACGTGTTGTAAATTATTATCCGTAGTATAATACCCTATCCGATATTTGTGCTGTGACAAAAACATTTTGAAGATAGATAAATTGCGATCAGTCAAAATCAACATTCAATTATTTAGACTTTTCTTCTTAATGTACACTATCATGCATATTTGATTCATGAAAAGTTTATAGCAGATTAAACCTAAACACTCTGATCTCCTCACATATCTGAGTGAATAAGGTGATTATTTTATATGAGCCGCGTCACGACAAAACCAACATAGTGTGTTTGAGACCAGCATGGATCCAGACTAGCCTGCGCATCCGCGCAGTCTGATCAGGATCCATGTTGTACGCTTACAAAGTCTATAACAAGTAGTGAAACTGATAGCGAACAGCATGGATCCTGATCAGACTGCGCGGATGTGCAGGCTGGTCTGGATCCATGCTGGTCGCAAACCCATTATGTTGGTTTTGTCGTGATGCGGCTCATTTTATATTATTATCTTTCTTTTTTTGTGGTGAGTATTTTAATTATGTTATATTATATTTCTATACAACATATAAATGCTAGGTAAAGTTATTTCTTCAAGATGACTCAGCATTTTTCTCCTTAGCTCTTCATGGAGGAGATAAAATTGATAGCAACTGTTATACATCTCCTTTGAAGAGTATTTAGGTGGGTTGGGATGGGATGCACGGCTTTTTGCACTTAGCATTCTGGGTAATTTTGAGGCACAAGTAAGTTAGAATCACAGAATTAACAAAAATGTCCGCACAAATCGAGAGTTCAGAGTAACACTGTTGAAACAATGTATTTGAACCGTTAACCCGCTGGAATCGAAAGTGACCGGCTTCTCCGAGTCACCGAGTTCCTAACAACGAATGCAGGAAAAGTCTATTTAAAATATTTATCAGATTATATGTTTATATATTTCATCACCTTAGTGCAGTAACGTACTACGTTCTTCTAAATTCAATAGGAGTTAATCAGTTATTGCACTAAGGTGATAATTTATTGGTATGTGACAGTGTTGTTTTGTATTTCTCGAAATATTCTACAGTACACAGATAAAACATTTTGTTGTTTTCTCTAAACCCTTAACTTGCTGGATGTGTGAAATGGATTTGCCCCGTTTTGAATTTGGAACAGTCCATTCAAATAGAGAAAAACAAAATCCCTAAAACGGATTCTCTAAGGAACGCCCAAAATGGCAGAGTTTGATTTTCAGTATCAAAATACAAAAATTGAGCAACTGCCAGTATAGACCCTGGTCGAACAGCCTAATTTGTTCAGGCCGGCCTGGCATTATTTTGCGTTGGAATAGTTGGCAGAGTAACCTCCCCTTTTTCGTCACTCACCACTAGAGGGAGCTTTAGAAAAAAGAATCATGACATACATGATGATGTCATCATTTTCACATCCAGGAGGTTAAGGGGATGATATTTTTAGAAAATTATAGATTTCCCTATAGATTACCCTTAGTGCTTATTAGTAAGTTTGCCTTGTAGATATGATTTTGTTGTTACAATTTTTTTTTCATTTCTCAATAAATGTTGTCCATTAGAGTTTTATTTTATTATATATAGTTTTATTTTATTATATATAGATAGAATTTTGTCTTGAAAGTTGCTTTTTATTAATTTTTTTATGCCACCGCAGCATCTGCGATGCGGTGGCATATAGCGATTCACCTCTGTGTTTGTGTGTGTGTGTGTGTGTGTGTTCTATAGATTATATAGTGAACTTAAAAAATCTTCTTGTGAAAAACCACTAGTCCAATTTCAACCAAACTTGGCAGGATTGATCCTTGGGTGAAGGGCTTCCAAAGTTGTTCAAAGAATTTCATTCCATACTGAAATCTGGTTGCCATGGCAACCAAAGGAATTATAAGAATAAATTTAAAAAATCTTCTTGTAAAGACCCAAAAGGCCTAGAGCTTAGATATTTTGCATAAGGCATTGTCTGATAGACCTCTACCAAGATTGTTCAAATTATAGCCCTGGGGTCAAAATCGGCCCCGCCCCGGAGGTCATTGATTTTCACTATATGTACATATAGCAAAACCTTAAAATACCTTCTTGTAAAGACCCAAAAGGCCTAGAGCTTAGATATTTTGCATAAGGCATTGTCTGGTAGACCCTTACCAAGATTGTTCAAATTATAGCCCTGGGGTCAAAATCGGCCCGCCCCGAGGGTCATTGATTTTCACTATATGTACATATAGTTAAAACTTAAAATACCTTCTTGTAAAGACCCAAAAGGCCTAGAGCTTAGATATTTTGCATAAGGCATTGTCTGGTAGACCTCTACCCAGATTATTCAAATTATAGCCCTAGGATCAGAATCGGCCCCGCCATTGGTCATTGGTTTTCCTTATATGTATATAGTAAAAACTTATACATGTAGTAAAAACTTTAAAAAAATTTCTTCTAGTAATTGACAAATGCTAGAGGTTAGATATTTTGCATGAAACATTATGTAGTGAACTTCTAGCAAGATTGTTTAAATTATAGCCCTGGGGTCAAAATTGCCTTTGCCCCGGGGGTCATTGATTTTCAATATATACA